AGCTCGGACCACTTCCCGGTGGTGACTGAGGTGGGATCCTCCGTAAATCGATTTGAAACTTTCCGGCGCAACTATCATCGTGTTGACTGGGGTCAGTTCCAACATTGCGTCGACACCGCTGTAGACTACGATGTCCAACCGGAATCGTCCGAAGATGTTGACCGGTGTCTGCGCTCCATCGATCAAGCAATTTCCCGGGCCAGGGAGCTACATGTGCCAGTATCCAGACAGGTGAGTAACACTCTGAACCTTGACAGGCCTACTAAAGACCTCATTAGACTCCGCAACACGATCCGTAGGCAGTACCAGCGTACTGGGCTGCCTAACCTGAAGACCAATTGCAACCGTTTGAACAAAATCATCCAAGCCAGGATGGTGGATCTCAGAAATATCGATTTTGCAAACAAGATTCGCTCTCTCCCAGATTGTGCTAAGCCATTCTGGAAAATTTCAAAGATTTTGAAAAATAAGCCGAGGCCCATTCCTCCCCTTTCCTCTCCTAACCAAAATTCGGACCCATCTTTACTAATAACCCCATTTGAAAAGGCCAATGCTCTTGGACAACACTTTGAAAATTCACATAACCTTGGCCACGCCATGGTGAGTCCCCACGAGCCTGCAGTATCACAGGCAATGGCTAGTGTCGCTGCCACCCCCGTAGTTGTCCCTGACGAAAGTAGAATATCGGCTGATGAGGTGATAGCAGCGATTAAATCAACAAAGAACATGAAGGCCGCTGGTGTCGATGGAGTGGTCAACCTCGAGCTGAAAAACTTGAGTGTTGACTTCTTCAAGCACCTTGCAGTGGTCTTCAACAAATGTTTAATGCTTGGCTACTTCCCTGCATGCTGGAAGTTAGCCAAAGTGATTCCAATACACAAACCTGGCAAAGACCCTACCAGTGCCAAAAGCTATCGCCCCATCAGCCTCTTGTCCTCCATCTCGAAGCTATTCGAAAAATTGATACTCAGCCGTCTGCTGGTGTTTTCAAATGATAATAACATCTTTCTCAAAGAGCAATTCGGGTTTAGGAAAGGCCACTCTACCATCCACCAACTCGCACGGGTTACTAACATCATAAAGCGGAACAAGTCCGTTTCCAATACATCTGCCATGGCATTGTTGGACGTCGAGAAGGCGTTCGACAATGTCTGGCATGATGGTCTAGTGTACAAGCTGCATCGATACAACTTTCCGAACTACCTCGTGAAGATCATCAAAAACTACTTGTCGGGCAGATCATTCCAGGTCTACTTGAACAATGTCTCCTCTGATACGTTCAACGTTGATGCAGGGGTCCCTCAAGGTAGCCTGCTTGGGCCTATCCTATTCAACATTTTCACGTCAGACGTTCCTCCCCTGCCGGGTGGTGGTATCCTGTCAATGTTCGCAGATGACACCTCCATCATCTATAAGGGTCGAGTGATCCGTGCTCTGGCGAGTAAACTACAATCAGGCCTGGATGTTTTGTCCGACTATTTTAAGAGCTGGAAGATTTGTATCAATGCAGCTAAAACACAAACCATTCTGTTTCCACATTCGTATTCACCTCGGCTTGTTCCGCCTGCTAACGTCAAGATCCATCTTGATAGCACTCCCATTGATTGGTCGAGTGAAGTAGTCTACCTTGGTCTCACCCTCGATAGCAAATTGCTATTCCGATCCCATGTGGACAAGACATCCACCAAGTGTAACATCTTGATCAGGTCGCTCTACCCTCTGATAAACAGGAAGTCCACCCTGTCCCTCAAAAACAAGCTTGCTGTCCACAAGCAAATCATTCTGCCGGCTATTGAGTATGGTATGCCAATCTGGGAGAGTTGTGCAAAGTGCCACCACTTAAAGCTTCAGAGGATCCAAAACAAGATCCTCAGAATGATCCTTAACAGTCCACCGCGAACTCGTAATTCTGAGATTCACCACCTGGCCGGTCTTCAAACACTCGAGGAGCGAAAGACTTCCACGCTGGAAAGGTTCAGAGTCGCCTGTCTGCGATCAAACCACCAGATCATTCGTGATTTGGCAACCTAGTTTAAGTAGTTAGGTGCTCAAGTAGGTAGGTTATCAAATTTTTAAATTCAAACCAAAACAATCCCACAAAGGGTATCCTGTAAATTAGCGCTAAACGCAATCATCACATTAGAATAACCAATTAACTAGAACAAAGATGAAGAGCCAAAGGCTAACCAATTGAAATGTTAAATCAAATGTTGAAATATAAAACCCAGAAAATAAACGTAAATTTTACTACTACTACTACTACTACGATTCAGTTTCCTTTTGACCGGCCACGAGCAAGCATCAGCAGCAGAAGAAAGCAAACCTTTGTAGAGAGAAAGAGGAGAGAAATAAAGTAGTTACTAGCGTAGCCGTTCGCCGTTTGAATAATTACCCAGCACACATCCCTGGTTCGGAGCAAGCGTTGAAACCCACCCCCAGCTCTTTTCAGAGCTCAAAGAGTTTGATTTAGATCGACGCTTGCCTCCTCCACCAATAATTGCCGATACAGTCCACTGCCGAAAGGGAAAGTGCCTTCCCAGACCGAACAAGATCTAAATGCTCGCCATGAGTCGTCTGCTGTTCGACCACTCGCAGCATGGGCTGTACTCCGTTTGCTTTTCGAATGAGCCAACATTCATCTGACCGGCGGGCAACCCATCGACGCTAGACCTGTTCCTGACAAATACCGGCTTGTCCAAGCCGGTAGCCTTGAACAAACTCAGCTCCGACCACCAACCGGTGGTGGCTGAACTGGGCTACAACGTGGCCCTGCTCCAAGTCTGCACAAGGACTATCACCGCGTAAACTGGGCCCAGTTTGGACGCGTGGTAGACAGGCACATCATCGACAACTCGCCGTTTGACACCGTGGAGGACATCGACCGAGCGTTGGAGGGACTCCACCAAGCCATATCCGTGGCTGGCGAGGCGTGCGTCCGACGAGTTCCTGTGAGGGGTAAGTTTATTGCCATTGATTCCCACACCCAACTCTTGATTCGCCTGAGAAATGTTCGTAGACGCCAGTTTCAGAGGACTGGAGATCTGGGCAAAAAACGTGAAATGGCTTCCAGAATGGTCTCACTCCGGAACGAAAGTTTCGGGCGGCTCGAAAGTTTCGGACGACCGCTCCAGACTATTCAGGAAAGTTGCCAAGGTCTTAAAGACGCACCCCAAACCCATTCCACCACTCAAAGATGAAAATGATGACGATCGGTTTATAATCACCCCTCAGGTGAAAGCAAATGCGATTGGTGAGCATATTGCCAAATCGCACTTGCTTGGCTCCAACATCCAAAATCCGCTCGAAGTTCAGGTTGAGCAATGTGTACTCAACCTTGCTTCTTTTCCTTGTGCTATCCCTCCGAAGGATACAATCACAGTGGAACAGATTTGTTCAGCGTTGAAATGCACCAAAAACATGAAGCCCCACGAGTTCGACGGAACATTCAACCTAGTGTTGAAAAGTCTCAACATGAAGGTTCACTCTCTACTGGCTGCTGTCTTCAACAGATGCTTGGAACTGCACTACGTTCCAAGTATCTGGAAGAAAGCGAAAATCATACCTATCCGCAAACCCGGGAAGGACCCAACGCTAGCTTCAAGCTACAGACCAATCAGCCTCCTTTCAGCGCTGAGCAAATTGCTCAAGAAACTCATTCTCAATCGTTTGCTCAAGTTTGTCGAGGAAAATAACATTCTCCTTCCGGAATAGTTTGGGTTCAGAAAGGGGCACTCCACCAATCACCAGCTAGTGCGGGTGATGAATAACATCCGAAGTTCACAGCCATGGCCTTGCTAGACGTTGAAAAGGCGTTTGACAATGTTTGGCATGATGGAGTTGTGTACAAGCTTTGTAACTTCATCTTTCCTTTGCATCTTGTTAAAATCACCCGTAACTACCAAAGGTCGTTTAAGGTATCGTTGAATGGTTGTCTTTCAGACACGTTCTCCATCCCAGCAAGTGTTCCGCAAGGAAGTCTGTTGGGCCCTTTACTATACAGCATCTACACTTCTGACATTCCTCGGAGACGGTTGCGTGTTCTTTCAGATGATACCGCAATAACCGTCAAGGGTAGGATGCCTCGCGAAATAACAAACAAGATCCAACGATGCCTTGACGCCTTTGCTGATTATGCCACCACGTGGAAAATCAAAATCAATGCCTCCAAAACACAAGCGATCATGTTCCTCCATCGGCAATCGCCGAAACTGAAACCGGCTCCATCTTGTACTGTAATCATGGATGACACAAGGGTTGAGTGGTCCGCCGAAGTAACCTATCTCGGGATGTTGTTTGACGAAAAGCTCCTATTCCGCTCGCATGTGGAGAAAACCGTAACCAAGTGTTCCGCCTTGGTTAGATTCTGTATCCGCTGATTTGCCGTAGATCCCGCCTCTCAAGGGTGAACAAACTCCGCTGTGGGAATTTGTGCACAGACTCACAGGAACAAAATCCAGGTCGCTCAGAACAGAGTGCTTAGGATGATCCTTTATCGTCCCTTTGACACAAGAATTTCAGATCTCCACCAAGAGGCGAATGTTCCAAAATTAGATTTCAAAATTGATGACATTAAGACTAGGTTTATGCAGAAATGCAACACATCAGAACATGCTTTGATAAGCAATTTGTATATAGTAGGTTAGATGTATATAGTAGTTGTAGTTGTAAATAGTAGTTATAAGTAGTCTCCTTTTTTCAATTCAAATCAAACCAATCCCACCAAGGTGGTCATACTTTAAAACAGGCCTGATAGGACTAGGAACTGTAAATAATAATTAAAATCTCAAATGTACTAAAATTGAAAATACGCATCTGTCATACACGTAAACCACACAAACACAAGAAATAAAGATCATTTAAAGTCAAAGTCATTCGTTTAGGATTTTTCAAAACTGCGCGAAATTATGGTACTTAACGGTAGTTAACTTTTAGTGTACTGAATGTTGAAATTTTCTTTTCCCACAGAACGAAATCCACATTCGACTGTATAATCATTTATTTTCATCCATTTTGTCAATTTCAATTCGTTTCACATTTAAACAAAAAAAAAAACTAAAGCTAAAACTATTATTTCAGTAATATGTTAGCATAACCTACTCCATTGGCCCTTAGGCCAGCATTTCGTAGAGATAACTGGCGCACTCGTTCAGCTTCGCGAATCCGCTCACCTCGCTGCTGATGCTAACCAGAATCTTATCGATCATTCCGCTATTGCTTCGCAAATGGTTGGCCACCAGCGAGCCCTGCGGTGTGGACATCAGATTTCCCAACGCCTGGTAAGCCCTGTATGTAGCCTCGTAGTCGGTAGCCCAGCTAAGGAATTCTCCCACTGCCTCCGAAAACACCTTGCAAAAATCCAGCGATGGCTTATCGAGCTGGGTCATGGATAGATTCAGATAGAAGCTGGCAAGTGCCACCTGGAGATTGGAACTTCCTTTCTTGATTGGCGAGAGCTTTTCAACGATTGGCCGGATATGCTCCGTTACAATGTTGCGTCCAACAGGATGTGAGATCATATTGACGAAGCAGCGGGCTCCCATCATCTGATTCGCGGGCAGATGATTGATCTGCTGGAGCAAGGTTTTCATAAAGTCACCTTCAAACAGCTCCTGACATGCCTTCGGGTCGCGTACAACCAAACGGGTGATGTCCAACACGGGGAACAGATTTTCGGTGGGCCAGTTGAATAGGTACTTGAGGGCGGTCAGACAAACGGAGTTTTGCTCCGAGACCTTGCTCAATTCTCCGACGTATCGAACGATGTCGTCCAGGGTGTCATCGGACATCTGAAGACTCTTATCCTCGATTTTGCCATTGAGTTCCCTGAAAGTTGAACACGATTAAAATATTAACCTAATGTCGAAAGAAAGTTTATCCTGTACTCACTTCAGTTTGACTAACACCTTGGAAAGGTCAACAGTCTCAACCGTCACGAAATGTCGATTGGGAAAGTGTGTGTTTGACTTTTTGACCTCAGTAGACCCGGTCGAGTAGCTGGATCCTCCGGTGAAAGGATCAGTATTGCCCGCCCCAGCACTTCCATTGCCGGGCACGCCTGCATTCGGAGTTTGAGTGGTATAACTGGATCCGCCTGTGAAAGGGTCCGTATTTGCCACAGTCGGTTGATAGCTTGATCCCACACCCGGCATATAGCGAGCTCCTCCGGTGAATGGATCATAGAAACTATTGGTACCAGCCGACGGTTTAACCGGAGCCTTGTCGGCATTTGTGATAATGAAATTTGCCACCTGATCCAGATAGGCCTGGGGAAGACTGTGTTTATGGATGAACCGTTGAGCGACAAACCAAGGATCTTCCCCTTTGTTGTACGGCAGCTTCAGATTGGGAGCTTCATCCGAAAGATTCACGGAGAACACGTAATCATATTCGCGTCCTTCGTACAGCTGCTTTCCAGTATCACCTCCCGTTGCTCCCATCACGTCACCCACGCATTCCCATTTGTTATTGCTCCATTGATAGCACATGATTTTCCCATCGCCATGACGGACAATACGGGTTTGACCCTCACGTCCTTCGGATAGCAACGATTCCGGCCCGGGAAGCTCATTCACATTCATACCGCCAAGTTGTTTAGTGGATTCCTGAACTCTCACCTCAACGCTCAATCTGAACACATCCTGTACATCATGAGGAGCTATTCTATCCTTGCAACTGGAAAAAACTCGAACCATCGCATCACTAGAACCAGTCACAATGTCCCCATTGCGTAGTGCTGCCACAGACCAAACCGATTGAGCCGGCAACGCCAGGGCATCTCCCAAAGCACCCTCCTTCAGACTCCACATTCTTACCGTACTATCTTCGCCGCTACTGATGAAGACATCCTCTCCCCAGAAATCACTTCTCGCAATGCTATAGATATAATTTGTGTGCCCGTGGAATTCCTTCACGCATTCGTAGGAATCACTCCAGTGTCGAATGGTGGCATCATTCGAGCAGCTCAGAAATCCACCATTAGGCAAGGGACACAAGCCTCTGACGCAATCCTTATGTCCTTTCAGCACTACCAGCTTCTCACCCTTCTCGTTCCATACGAAAATTGACTTGTCTGCCGATCCTGTGACATACTTCCCCGATGGCAGCCGCGCAACGGCCCAAACCGCCGCCTCATGCCCCACCAGTGTCACACTAGCCATCGTCGTACCAACGTCCGTCCAGATCTTGGCGCTCTTATCCCAACTTCCGGAAATCAGCACATTCGGCGAGTTGCCTTTGGCCAATGCACAAACCGTCGACGTGTGACCTTTCAACACAACGAACGGTTCCATCGCCGACGGGTACTTGTACACACAGATCGTTGCATCATTGCTGGCCGTACAGATCCAATTGTTTTCCTCAATCACCAGAACCGCACTGATGTAGTTGGAATGGTGACTCAAAGTTTCCGTTTCGGTGTAGTGCCCATCGAGCTGGGTCCACACCTTGGCAGTCTTGTCACGCGATACGGACACGATAAAACCCTTGCCTTCGGCGACCGCGCGCACGTCCAGTTTGTGTCCCGCTAGTTCACTGGACAACTTGAAATCCTCGATCTTGACCATTGCTCTTTGTTTTGATCGCTTGCCCTACGGAACTGTTTTGGATAGAGTACATTTTACCAAGCATTAACTTCACAATACAATCACATATAATCAATGACGGGGTGCGTTACCTTGTGCTGTACAAGAAATTGGGGAAAAATCGCTGAAATATGATGAAATTCCGGCTGAAAATTCACAAAATTCTGCCGAATCACCGAAAACGCTGACCGTAAACGAGACGAAATCGCCAACTTTTTTTTTTTCGTTGTCGAAAACGTCAAAATGAAAATCTGAAGCTCAAGGGGTAGGAATTTGATGGTGAAATGGTTTTTCAAAAGGGCAAAATAACCGATTCTATAACATTCCCCAGAATTCCTCAGAAAAGCATTCCCCAGAATGTACCATTCTCCAGAAAAGATGATGAAATTAGTAATTTATCACTTTTTTTTGTCATTTGATATTATATATCAGTTTTATATTACAGAACTACCGATTACAAACTTATAACATAATTCCACACGTTATTATCGCAAATAGTCATTACCCCGAATCCCTTGCGAAAAGCTATTGAGTATATATTTTCCTTATATATGAATAGAAAAGAATATTTCCTTCTTTATCGTAAATCCAAAGAATTAATTATTTCCTTTTGTTGTATTTTCGAAGAAGGGAATATTCCCTTCTTTATCATATATTTAACGAATTAATGATGTTCTATTCTATATATTCAAAGAAGGGAATATGCCCTTCTTTATCGTATATCCAAATAAGTAATTCTTTCTTTTTATCCCCTTCTTTTTGATATTATTTACATATTTAAAGTAGGGAATATTCCATTCTTTATCGTATATCCGAAGAATTAATGATTTCCTTTTCTTAAATTTTCAAAGAACAGAATATTCCCATCTTTATTATATATTTAACGAATTAATGATGTTCTCTTTTATATATTCAAAGAAGGGAATATACCAGGGGGAACGACACTTAAGGATTATCCCATTTTTACCAAAACCTCTCATAAAATTTTCAACTTGCACAAAATTTCAATCCATCCTACACACAAAAAATAATCATTGGTAAAATTAAAAGAACCGTTGATAGAATTAAAAGTTTGCATTGGTTCTTTTTGGTAGAAAGTAGCTAACTTTCAAAATAAAAGTCAAACAACTGTCAAAACAAAAGTTTAGCATATTATTGATTTTAAAAGTTTAAACTTTCAAATCAAATTGTAGAACTGTCAAACTTAAAACCAAATACTTTTAGATTCATGTTGGAAAAGTGTTGCTTCAAAAAAAGGCTATTTCACCGCAATTAGTATATGTTTTCACCTCAAATACGAATTATTTTTAATTGAATTGCTTTTATGTAAAAGGGAAATAACCAATATTTGTATTTATTTATTTAGTATTTTGTAAATATTCATATTTCTTTTTTTCATTCACATCAGGATGTTGATATCAGGGATGTTGTCTTTGGCGGATGGCTTTAGTGCGAGCTTTAGTGAAGGTTTCTCCCAGACACGGGGCTCCAACATGCAGCGGAGTTGGTCGAACGAAAGTGCATATTGTTTTCACAGCTGGCCGGCGATAAGCAGCAAAACCTGGTGTGACTAAATCTTACCAGTGTCCTATAGAAAAGAACGGAATCTGTAATCCTTCCAGCGATACATTGCAAACGCTATTGATAGCCACCGAAAGCATCTTTGCGGTGTGCTCTAACGTCCCAATATGCTGGCGATCTGGAAAATAATAATCTTGTTTTTCAAAACCACCCTCAAGATATCTAGACAGTAGTTGCAATCTTACCTTCTGCGAAAACTTTACTCTTTCTCATTGCCTCCACAACCGGAATCGGTTCCCGGAACTACACAATGCACGATTGATTTTCTGCGGTTTGATTCTAGTGTCTCATACTATATGCCATATTGGATGTTTGGACCATGACAATGAGCTTTCAAGAGGTGATTTTGACAGTTGTACAATTTTTATTTTAAAAGTATGAACTTTTAAAATTACATGTCGATAATTAAAGAAAAACTTTCAAAGCAAAGAAAAACAATTCATTTTGAAAATATTCATAGTTGAACCGACAATCAATACGAAACTAACGATTTTAAATTGGCTCACTACTTGACTAGCCTATTGGTCCCAAGCAAACGATTAACGTACCCCATTCTAGTCAAAATTCTAGTACTACGCAATGTTTGTTTTGATTCGCTATGAAAGTTTGACAGATGAAATGAGGGGTTATTCGTTTTTCCTATGTTTCGAGGGGTGAATTGATTAGCTTGGGACCGAAGAGAGTACCAGAGCTGAGCCAAAAAGTTGAGCACGTTATTTCGGGACCTTCTAGTCTTAGAGTTACCTCTATGGTTGAACCTACCAAATTCGAGAAACTTTGAATTTGAAATGTTAAAATTTTTAAAGATACAATTTTTGTTTTTTTGTGTGTATCTATTCTTTCTATTCCCAACTTATCCCTTCTGCAGGCACACAAATTGTCAAGCAAGCCATGCAGTTTCTCGAAGTTTTCAGGTCGACCGTGAAGTTTTCTGCCATACTCACTGTCATTGTTCAACAATCTCCACAACAAACACCATGTATGTCAGTTGGCTATGCCGGTTTATAAATCGGAAAACTTAAAAAAGATGACGGACCACTCGTCTAAAATCATTCGCGGGACAACATCAAGTGCACGTTTCTGTGCGAGAATATTGTGAATTAAATTCACGTCCAAATATAGCTGGGAATATTAACCGGAACCTAGTGATCCATCGCCACCACCCGTTCCTCATACTGTGCAGTTTCGACCTATTTGGTACAGAACCGTTTTCTGTACTGGAGCTGTGATCTTTGGTTAACATTGTTGGGCGGTGTCCATTAATTACGTTACGCTAAAAATCAAAATTTTCGACCACTCTACCCCCCTTCAGAACAAAACGTAACACTGAAAATGATCCCCCTCTATTTATTACGCCCGTCTCATTTAATTATTTTTTCATTCCGGTATGTCTTTTTTATTTCTAGGTAATTATATTATTATCAAAATAAAAACAAAAGATCAGCGTAACATCATAGAGGTAACTCCAACCGGTGAACACTCGTATTTATTTCAGTTACTATGGGGACGTAATTTGTGATTAATTCTGGTCCCTTTCAAATTGCATCATTATTTGCGTACACTCAAATTAATTTTCACGTCAATGCTACGTGAAAACATACGTAGATTTTTTCCATCGTACTTTTCACGTAAGAGCTACGTGATTCTCAAGTAGGGGCACTCATTTCATGAAGCATAAACGTCACAGAATATTCACGTAGAAGTTACGTGAATCTGTCGATAGATTTTAAAGAAATTTCTTGTACCAGTATTTTTACTGCTGTTTGCTGTTTGTTCTTAGTTTTAATGTTTATTACAATAAAATTCATGGAATTTCTTTACTCGCATTAAAGCGTTCAATTTATTATAAACAAAAGAAAAAAACAACATTGCTATTCAACCAATCAGGAACTCGACGTTTGATCAATGTGCCTCCATGGGACGATTGCTCTTCCCGGCTTCCTTGTAGCTTCGCCTACATTTGAGCTGCTAATGACTATTATTCCCGAAAAAAAATAACAACAATAATACAATAAAAAACAATGTAACAATAAGACGAAAATTATTGTCTTAACAATGATTTATATTGTTACGTCTACAATAAATTTACCTTGATTTATGTTGTACAAAACAGTAAATTTCATGGTAAATGGAAAATTTACAATAAAAAAGGGAGGTTGTTAAGTATCTTAACAATGAAATTTTCGTGATTTTCCCATATAATTCTTTTTCAATAACATTATATATTATTGTTATTTTACTGTTGGTTGGCGAATTTATTGATTAACAAAAACAACAGTGTACTTTAGAGTGTATGTGTTGGCTTGACAGATCTACTTTATCGACTTTAAAAATAAATCGAAAAAATAAAACATCGCCCCGGGAAGGGAAGGGGGTGGTATGTATGTTACGGGTGAGTCCTTTTTTTACTGGTTATGAATTGAGATTCGATCCGGAACTTGTGAGAAATGGAAGCCAACTCCCCTGTACTCGATCTCTCTAGGTCACGTCTCCTTGGTGGTTGAGCGTCGTTGATAAGTTAATGCATTCAACTGGAGAGAATCGCCCATGAAATATGCTTCCACCTGAGAGTTATTTCCTGGCATCTTCAAGTGGTGGATTGTTTTATTATTATTGTATGATTATTGACTGCACGGAAAAGGTCTGCATTAAGCGGGATTAAGATGAGGCAGGAGAGTTGAGCTCAACTCAAACCGATCTGGTCGTAGGCGTTCAATTGACTTGGCAACGAATAGAGCCAAACGAACTGTCAAAGTAAGAGCCATACGAGCAGCGCCTATCTTAGTTACATTGGCAGTGTTGCTGACCCTTCCATAGTCTGCATGCTTCAATCAGATTTATTTTTATTGTTCGTGTAGTAACCCACAATGAAAACACACCAATATTTAATGTAACAACAATTTTTATTGCAATAGAGTTGTTCATTATTGTTCGTGATCAAATCATGTTAACAATAAAATTAATGAAAAATACATAAAAATCATTGTAACAACATTTTATTATGTACTTTCATTGTACAGCTAGGTAGCAGTTTTGCCGTTTTCGGAAGGGTATAACATTATAACAATCATTTTTATTGTCGACAATAAATATTAATGTTAGAGCATTGTTTCCACTGAAAATTTCACTGTAATTTTTTTTTCGGGTTACCATCCATTATCTTCCCGTTCCGGAGAGGATCCATGAGCTGTAAACTCGACTGCTGCAGTTGAGCTAAGTTGAGGTGTTTTTAGAAGTGCAGAAGCCGTGCATGTTCGCTTCCGTCGCTAGCGCTTGTCACGCTGATGGTATCCGAAGCGGATCAATGGTGGGGCTGCAAATGAAGAAAGAGAAATGTCAAATGTTTTTGCTGCTTACCACCTTTAAAAAAACTTATAAAAAAACGAATATTTTACAGCATAATTTAAATCTTATACTTACGTTTTCAACCAGTCAAAAACAAATACAACAGCAACAAATCTGCATATTTATATTCATGCCGCCATGTTGAACACCCAGCTGAGTGCCTTACTTTTTTCATACGTGGAATTCACTTAAGACTTACATGAAACGCACATAGATTCTAGGTATGTGGAAATCACGTAAATTTCATTGGATAAATAAATGGGTGTAATTGA